CCTCGGTTTGCTGGGATACAAAAATAATAAAGTATTGAAAGGCTTGTTTTTCACACCGCCAATGTTTCGGACTTTAAAAAATACATTAATAAAATTTGAAACGGTACATACGGTTATCAAATAAGAAAAAGTTAAAAATGGCAAAAAAATACACCAAGATGTAACAAACACTAGAACCGACAAACAGAAACAATGACATTCATCGTTTGTACATATTAAACAAGTATCTGATAGTTTTTTATTTCAACAACTAAAAAATCTTCAAAACGGAATATTACACAAAACACAAATAATAAGAAAACTCGATAGAAAAAATAAAAAACAAATGTATAAAAAAGCCAGAGCATCCTTACCAATTGAGTGGCCCACAAAGTACGTGCCAGGTCACATAATATATGGAGGGATGTCAGTGTTTTGTAAAATATAAAATCAAACAGGAGTTTTGGAAAATTCAAGATTATCTGCAGTCTGCAGGAAGTTAATGCTGGTCCTTTTGAAATTACCAAATGACTATTACCATTTATTAGCGTATTTAACCTGAAGGCAGCCAACAAAACACTGTATTCTGAGATGAACTGTGACACCGCAGTGTCATCTATGAGATTTTGTCACAGCTATGTTTCTCCTCTCCACACTAATTAAAAAGAAAAGATTAGCGTCTCCTTCCTGGTGCAACTATACAAGGTATCTAACATAAGGATGATATGCATGAGGAACTGAATACCTGTGGGAGATACAGCTTAGGTTATATTAAAAAAAGTGCTTTCTTTGGGGAGTATTTACATGCCGTTCAGAAACTAGTAAAAACTGTATGGTTTACTGGGAAATTTGACCCAATCAGTTTTGTTTCTTTCTGAATTTGTTTTAAGAGGTATCAAAAAACTAAAACTTTTCCATTGGCACTTTTTAGGCCCTAGATTTTTTAAATTTTGTGCCCCTAGGTTCGTTTTTGAGAATCAAATTTATTTTTTTATGTTGTAGCGAAGAGGAGAAACATAGTTATGACGTTGTAGCCAACTATATTAGTATATAGCATATATCTGGATACAGCGCCATCTATGAGAATTAATCACAAACCTTTCCAAAGCAGATTTCTAGTTAGTGCGGAAATGACACCGATAGCTTTGGTAAATTCTCATAGGTGACGCTACGGTATCTCATTTCATCTCGGCCAATTTTTGGACCCGGGTTTTATTGCACAAGGTTGACCACCTTCAAGTAGCATGCGTTAGTCAATGCTATTACTGATATGTGATTCCACAACAATATTTTTCAACTGCTGTAGAAGTTACATTGATTCTAACAGGTTTTGTCCGACTCGTCATTCTAAAATAAAAGTAGGAAGTGGGCACTAAAAAATGTTCAGAGCTAAAATCATAAGCCTGCCTGGAAAAATGAGACGCAAAAACTCAATTCTATAAATATTTGATTATGTTGGATCATGCCCGTCTTAATTTATTTAAGGTTTCCGACATCGTTAAAATAATCAATTAGAACAGTTCAACAAGACTGGAGGTGTATTAATAGATGAATTACTTCACTATCAAATTACATTGGAAGATCTGAAAAGCGACCTGCAGATTTCATTACTGGATGTTAGATTCGCAGCTCAACATTCCTTTCATGTACTAAACAGTCTCAAAAATGTAATACTAAGCGTGATAAAGACATTAAAGGTGAAAAGAACAGAAAATTGAGATCCCTCATCAAGAATAAATGCTTCTGCACACATTTTTTTTTATATCTGACAAGGATACGGAGCAAATATATCGCCAGAACAAAGACTGATCTTTTCCAACACATGTCTTCTCTTTTGGATCAAGTTTCGAATTCCGTCAGAAGATAAATTTAAAGACTGAATTTTGCATCTGATTCACTGTCTGGATATCTTGTATGAATCACTCTCTATACTCCTCTTTCCAGGCTTTAGTGATTCACATATCACACACAAAGAATAAGTGGTTGTCGTTAAGATTCTGCTTTCAAGCATCTGCCAACCTTCGTTTATAATAGTAATCAAGTAGAATACAGTCAAGCCACCCATATTGTAATGTTTAGAAATGGAATTGAAGCTTCATGATCGATGGTCTCAAAAAACACCTTAATACAATGCAACTTCACACGGAACACCATATTCGCACATGATATGTTCTCAGTTTCAACTCCAAATTGCTCCACAAGCAGAAACCCACCTGCTGGAAAATCAACTCAATATTTTTGGCTTACCTAGCTTCAACCGCAGTTCCTCTTCGAAATAATACCTTCGATTAGTTAAAAGGAATACTTTCGGCATGTTTTTCACTATCTTTCGCACGTACCAACTCTCAAAATTAACCACGATTGTGCGCAACAGGTGTGCAGGTATCTTAATAACCGGGCTCTGACAGCGGTCTGACAGTTCAACAGATAGGGGCGTCATCAAGTTACCATGGCTGATGTGATGTTAGTGTCATTAATACGTGATGTGGTTTGATCACCATATTTTCAGAGTAGTCAGTTCTGATAAATCTAAAATCAGGAACTTTCTATTCCAAACACCAGTGAGGGTACTTCACAGATTTTTCGAAATTGTATGCATTGACAAATGGATGAAATCAGTCTTGCGGGTGACATTGATTGAGAGCAATATTAATCTCATTTATTATAAACGTAGCGGACATCCTTACTAATTTTATAAACTAAATGAGAAAGTATGGACGTTTGATACTCAGTCACGTCAAAATGGCTGAACGGATCTGGGATATGAGCTACTTTTTATCCCGAGAAGTTACTTTGAAATATCTATTTCACGGGCTACAATCAAAATGGTTTAATGCAATTTGACATGAGGTGGGTGTCTGCACTCTGACGTGGAAGCGCTCACTCGCTGTTCCTACCCAAATGATTAAGGGTATATAAATACGGCATTTACTGCATTCCGACATTCGTTTTTATAGCGTGATTGTCTTGATTTATGTTAAATTTGTTTGATGGATTGTTTTAATTCAAGTATAATCCATATTGTTTCTGTATGATTTTTTCTAGAGTATACGAAAGCACGGGTAACTTACCTATAGGCCTTGAGATTAGGGGACAAGTTTGAATAATGCCAGCATCCACTGTTTAGGGAGGTATCCTTTTTCTAAACAAACATTTGTTATGTGATTGATATGAACGAAAGTTATAGGAGGCTTAATCCTCTCATAGAACCTTCTTTTGTAAAATGCGTGGTTGCCAAGTTTTTGGGCTGTTCGGGTATTTCATAGACATAGAGACATATTCAATCATGAGTTCGCGGGTAAATCCTTCCCTATAACCGTCCTAGGGTATAAATTAGTAAATGTACAATGGCACGGCATTTACGACAAATCTGTCTAGTGGTAGAAGAGTAGACTTTAAAGAAGTAATAATTCTTGATATTGGGCAATGGAGCGTCTTAACGGGCAATATATGTAGCCCGGTCATATTCAGGGTGTAAGGTAATGGGTGGATCCAGGGAAGTCAGATGATAGAGCCTCAATACTTATCGATTGCACTCCTATATATGTAGTCCAATATTTTAATGTTCAGGAGATATTTGCAATTTTGTGAAGTTTTCGAAAAATCGGGATTTTAAAGCTTTTTCTGATGAAGATGTCGGTCGTACTCATCGGAACTAAATTTCGCCAGAATTCGCATCCATAGTAATCGTAGCCTAACAAACAATTGTTGGGCTTATCAGATTTTGTTTTCGAGGTATGTAGGATACATCCAAATATGGATTTAACGGGTTTTAGGGAATGCAAGGCGATATCCGATTATTTATTGATCATCGATTTATATTGAAAAACGATAAATATCGAAAGAAAAAACGAAAAATATCGATATTTCATAAAAAAATCATATAGTTTTATTCACAACGACACAATTTCCGTACGTCACAATATACAGAATTTCAGAACTATGGGATCAAACGTGTACGGGTTATTCAGTGTAACAGTAGAAAATATTTGAGTATAGGGACCCATATCCGGAAAAGTGTCACTACGGCACTAAGGCACTAGGACGCGTTGAAATTTAGAAAGACGATGAATTACCTAAATAGGATTTAATGCATTTAATTTTTGCCTTTTGTACATGAGATATCATAACTACAATTGTTCAAAATGTCTTCCACAACCTGAATACACCGTTCCTGTGGGGACATGTAAAGTCTTTGGTTTACAAAACTCCACTAGATACAGAGCAAGACTTAATTGGACGAATTGAAATCATTCAAAACGAGTATCAAATTTTTAGTCAAGTCCGACGTTTAAATCGGTGCATTCAGGTTGGAGGAAGACATTTTGAACAATTGTTGTGATGATATCATGTACAAAAGACAAAAATTAAATACATTAAACCCTATTTAGGCAACTAATCGTCTTTCTAGATTTTTACGCGTCTTAGGGCCGTAGTCACACTTTTCCGGATATGGGTCATTATACTCAAACGTTTTCTACTGTTACACTGAATAACCCCTAGAAGTTTGGTCCATTAGTTTTGAAACACCCTGTATACTGCGCCGTCACTAGTCAACACGGTATTTTAGAATTATATTTAAAACTGATGTAGGAAGGAGTATAACAGTGGTTGGTTTGGTTAGCCTACCTACATACAAACAAATGTATAAGAAAATAACTAATGGTTATAAATGATTAATTAAATTTGATTACTTCGTCTTTGATTTCATTTAGAAATGTGTGATGAATGTAATTAATTTTTCAATATAATTATGGTTTATTTTAGGTAGAAAAAATTGAACCCCGTTCAATATATTATACGAAGAATTCAGTTTTTCAGGAAAACCGATATTCATCGGTTTTTAATGAAAAAAGAAAAATGTGACATTTCTTATAGGTTATCCAAAGAGTTCCATAATTGCATGCCCTATGGAATTACGATATTTGAAAATGAACCCGATGAAATAAACAGCGGGGGGCTTTGAAACTAGGCGACTCATGAATGTGTATTTCTCAAAGAACTTCAAAACTCCAACTCACCCAACTCCGTCCGCTCCTCCTCATCCAAGTCGTACTTTCTATTGGTCATCTGGAACGCTCTGGGCATATTCCCGCTCAACTCCCGAACCGTTGCTCAACGATCAACAGGTGTGACAGCCGGTTGACATTCGTGGTGCGTGCGCGGTGCGGTCGCACGCGATTTCGAAACGACAAACGACGTGCGTCGCGTTGACAGCCCCACAACTGCCACCAGCCACCTACGATCAGCGCCAGCCACTGCCTCCTGGAAGATCGGGAGCTGTTCTATATTTACGGCCCCGGGCGCGTGCCAAGACACTTCAGGTAGTAGGGATGGTGCGAGAAAACTAGCGCAGTGGTGGCTCCCTTCGAAAGAGTCAAGAACAAGTGGGGTTCGCTCCGAATTGGCCCTCCTGGGAGTCAGACGGCAGATGTTGACAAAATGAGTTTGATAAGATTCCTCTGTCAGATGAATAGTCGAATCTTAGGATATCTCTGTTTCTACGCCGATACGTCTTAAGCCGTAGGGTCTCCAAGCCAGAGCGAAATCCGGGGGCCCACTTTGCTTCGTTTGATATTTGGGCATTTGGGGGGCCCCATCAAGCCGCACCCTTGCCACGGGCCCCGTTTGTCCATGGGGTCAAGATCGAATATAGTATGTGGCATAGAAAAAAGAACATCCAATAATTCAATTTATTACAAAGATTTTCTGGGTTTATGTTTTTTAAGCTGCCCAAAGTTCATAGAACTGGGAACAGCTTCCTCAGATAGATTATTTCACAATCGCGATACCCTAGGGACAAAGGATCGGTCGTATCGGCCAGTTCTGGATGTACGAAGTTCGATACTGTTAGTATGAGAACCCGGAGTGAGGCGGGTTTTTCTGGCAGGCACTTCGCAGCAAAACATCAAACTTGTGAGGAGTATTCGAGGCTTGTCTTAACTGAGCCTTGTACAGGGTGGCGACCTAAGAATGAGAGGTACTGTATCTGGGTAAACTATCCATCGTAGAGGCTTGCGGCAAACACAGATATTACTAAAACGGCCAAGAAATAGCCGCTAGGGGGCGTTACCTGATCTTAAAGTTCGAGGATAATCTGAACCTTCCTTGTTTCACAATTTTTGCTGTATCTCTAAAAATAAAGTTGTGGGGGGTATTCAAATGATTCCGTAAAAAACACCATGCATCTTCGAAACGGCTGAGACGATTTTAACAAACTTGCACTAGTTGAAAAGAGGTATTCTTCGGCTACAAATGTGATTATATTTAAAGTTTTGTTAGTTTCACATGTGGCCGCTAGAGGGCTTTTTCCAACACTACAACCGAAAATTTTAATTTTCTCAAAAAATTAAATGCATTGGTATGTTTTTTTCTATGAAAAAGTAGATAAATGATGTGTAAGCATGCTCGCGAACACCGCATCTCTATATCTTGTCCCTAAACTGAAATTTAGGCACAAGAAGATTTTATACAGGAATCCCTCAAATTCTTTTCAAACTAATTTTTTTGTATTTTTTTTATTATCAAGTTGTGCCCCTAAAAGAACCAATTTAAAAAAGAAAGGTTTTTGAAGCCCACGAAAATGCTCGAAATGCTGACCATCACGCCCTATGCATTCCTGAAGCCTCTCATGGGTAGACAAAACTGCGGCTTCAATTTCGGCTCTCGGTATGTTACATATTGAACTACGAATCCGGTTTTTCATATCTACTCTTGCTGTAGGCTGAAACACGATGTCCTTTTACCGGTCCCATAAATAAAAATCAAAACAGGTTAAGACTGGTGATCGCGAAGGCCATGGAAACAGACTTCCAACAACAACGGTAATTGATTGTCCAAAAAGACATTGCCAGTTTGGAATTGTTCGAAAATATATGAGCCAATAATTCTGCCTCTCAGTTTGCCACACCACACTACAACGTCCTTGCTGCTGAACGCAACTAATGCGGATTTTCCGCAGACCAATAATGCATATTGCCCAACCTCCGACCGAAGTCTTCCTCTTTCTCAAAACGACATGATATGGGTGCATTCTAAAAATAATAAAAAAAAGTTAAATTTAAATAAATATAATTTGATGGCCATTAGAACTTAACTAAAATATTTTGAACAGTTGTTCGTGAAATGATAACTCAAATGATAACATGTGCTAACATGAGGATTTCCTTCAATATATCCCAGTACGCGGTTAATATTTTATTATATTCTTCCAATTCTTTGCCGTTGAAACTAGGCCGAAAACCACCTTTGGCTTGTAAGCGCGCCACTAATCGGGAAAAATTCTCACATCGCAATGTCGCCGATTTGGATATGGAGTCGCATAAACTCTTTTTGCTACTGCGGCATTCTGAAGACATTCAAAATAAACTGCAAGCATATCAACAGCTTCATTGTTCGTAAATCGCATTAGGTAGTCATAAAAATTGCTCAAACTAACGCCAAACTTAGCGAATATGCATTTAAACAAAAGTATGCCTTTTGTTATTAGCACTACTAACTTAACTTTTAGAGACATTTTGTAATATTTTCAAAAAGGGTGATTTTTCTCTGATGAATAAAACATAATTAAAAAAAATAGATTAAAATTATAAATTGTAAGGGATTTCCGAATACATTTTTCTTTGGCCTAGATTTTAGGTTAGGAATAAGATATCCAGATGTGGTTTACGCGAGCTGGTTTAGACATCATTTAGCTACTTTGTCATGCAAAAAAATCATACCAATGCATTTAATTTTTTATAAGAAAATTAATCATTGCTGTCGGAATGTCGAAAAAAGCCCTCTAGCGGCCGTATGTGAAACTAACGTAATATTATCACGTTTGTAGCCCAAGAATAGCTCTTATGAACTAGCACAACTTGTTAAAATCGGCTCAGCCGTTTCTAAGATAGCGGGTATCTTTTTCGGAAACCTTTGAATACCCCCCCACTACTTTATTTTTAGAGATACAGCAAAAATTGTCAATCAAAAAAAGTTCGCATTATCCTCGACCTTGAAGATTAGGTATTTTTTGTTGGATTAATATAACGGAATTCACAGAGACATCACTTTTTTAGATTCAAGATTGCAGTTTTAGAAACTTAGAAATATTTTCCAGGTTTTTCTCTTAGGCGTTTTAGTAACAACTTGTGTACTAAAACATAAATGATACCAATCACTCATGTAATGCTCCAAAAACTTCCTTCCCTCATTAGTGTTCAGAGTAATGTTATTTAAAGTTAAGTTGAAAGCATGTGCGCCCACGTAAAATATACGAATACCTACCTACCACGCAGCGAAAATTACCTGTGCTAGATCCGAATTGTGGAGATGTGCAGCCTCCTCCTCCCCCCCAGACGCTCAGGCCAATAAGGAAAGAGACATGTATATTTTTAAAAACACAAACAATCCAACTGCAGAACTGAAATCAATGAAGAATTAATTTTACTATTAAGACGAATCAAAAGACACCACAAATGTCAAAATGCATTAAGTTGTTTGGGTTGTAACAAGTGAAATAGAAATTTCAATGTTGAATATTTTTAAATGAAAGTTGAAATGAAGAAACCCAGTCTCAATCGCGCTGAATTATGTAGTCGGAACTTCAAACTTCGTTTTTAAAAAACTTTATTTGATTCCAACAATAGTTCGCTGTGACTGAGATTGAATGACTGACTCATAATTAAGATACAATCGTTAATATAAACCAAAAGTGATGAGCTAGTAAAAAGGAATACAATGCAATTATTATATCAGTTAATAAAGTGTTAAATGACAGCAACATAACTCCTCCACCCTTAAGATGAAGTTTTAGAGGGCACAAACACCTTCGAAAGGATGTACAGGTCGGGGTGAGTCACTCATGAAAAAATAAGGATACAATGAGCACTCACTGATAGGTCCAGTACTTCATCCCGTTCTTGGCCTAGGTTCCTCAGGTGGACGTCGACTTCAACAGGACAAAGGGCACTTGTGGTCCAAATTCTTTCTTCTTTCTTCAGTAGTACCGGCTCGTCACGGAGGTTCGTGATTCCCAATTAAGAGTTCGGACTCAAGGGCTAATCGGCGAAAATCCCTTTGGGAATCCTACTGCGGGCTGCGCCAATTATGTAGTCGGAACTTCAAACTTCGTTTTTAAAAAAGTTTATTTGATTCCAACAATAGTTTACATGGTCCGAACCGGAATTACAGTGTGTGTTCGCTGTGACTGAGATTGAATGACTGCCTCATAATTAAGATACAAGCGTTAACATAAACCAAAAGTGATGAGCTAGTACAGGAATACAATGCAATTATTATATCAATTAATAAAGTGTTAAATGACAGCAACATAACTGCTGTCAAGAAGACAAATCTAGGAACACCTTATACCTGTGTCAAAATCCATCAATCCGATTAAGATGTAGCCTGTGAAATAGGAATTCAATGTTGTTTGTTATTTTATAGATGAAGAGCAATCGATGGTCAATCGCCGGCATCCCCTCTACCCCAGAGGCGGAGATCGTGCTGAACATTCATTTTGGGACCACCAATGTGCCCTCCTTGAATTTTGCATAATGGGCGCCCATGGTTGAAATGTGCTAACGATTGTTGTGGATTGTGAAACTTTAATATTGACGTTTTTTTCCTGATTCCAATGGAGCTGGATCTCGTGGAATCGGTCATTGATGCTGTTGAGTAGGCTGTTATCGATGTTCCTTGAAATTCAATTTTCTTTATCATACAAAATAATTGAAGTATAACATAAAATGAGCTGTAGGGAGGGATAGCTCAACGGTCCCAGCACAGATCCCTATAGCACGCCAAATTTGTACATATCCTATCCGAGACCGCCTATTTAACCTCCAGGGGAAAGATTTTATAGCTTTGTAACCTCAGAATCGCTGGTACAGGTAATAGATATATACGTGTATTTTGCGACCTAGTTTGTAACTAGACTCTATCCAGAGTAATCGTGGTTAGCACATTCAAATGCTTTGCTTAAGGTCACATAAGATGTCAACAGGACACTCTCCTGTCTCAATATATTTAACTAGTCCATCGAAGGAAATTCAAAGCTGTGTTTGTTGATTTTCGATTACGAAAAGCTTGGGGATTTTTGACAACATATTGTTACCTTCTAAATACAACATACACTTATCTAGGAAACAATATTCGTCTATTTTTCCAATGCACATTGTTTTTGACGATGCTACTAAATATAGTGGAACGCGACACACGTATTTGACATTCTGGTCCTTGTCCAATAATCGCACAATTTCAATCAACCAGTTGTTTATACAAGTAGTACAATAACATTCTGTAACAATATCATAACAACAAACAAATAACAGAAAACTTTGGCAAAAATTTGG